TCTTCCTGGTCTGTAGTTTTTCAGGGTTCTGTGCATTTGTTTTCTTATCAATAGTTTTATAAGAACAGGAGACTACTTTTCCTGCCTCAATGTCTAAGGAATAAAGTGGGCATATAAATAATGCTTGTTAAATTGCAGAGGGAGAAGGGAGTTAGATCTGGCCTCAAAGTTCCCCATTCAAACCTTTAAAATGTGAAGGAAAAAAAAAAGTATTGGTTTTGCCTGGTTCCATCTACCCTGTGCCAGAGGAAGAGATGAGTTTGTTAACCTTCTTTGGGCACAAATCTTTTCACACATTATAGTTTCTGAAATACTTCAAGTCTAGCCTGGACTTGATTACCAAGGAGTAGTCTGTTTCTCTCCTTTTCACAAATTGCAATACATTATATACTTTTTTAAAGCTAAATGGTCCATTCAGTAAATTGGGTCTGCTTTCCCCTCTGCTGCTGTTGTTCTTTTTATAGACAAAAGATGTCCCAGGCACTAAGGATCTGAAGACCTGGTCCCTACTTGTACTCTACTTCTAAGTTCTTGGGTGACCCTGAGTAATTTACTTAACTGTTGCTTACTGTAATAGACACATTAGTATATGAGATCTAAAATTTACCCCATTTTTCAGGTTTTTTTCCATATGAATTTGTAATACATGATTACAGCACAAATATAAATCTAAGGAGTACAGCATGTATGTAAGATAGGAAGAGATTGCTATTTACTTTTTAATTCTTACTGGGGGTGGGGTATTTGCCAAAAAATTACATTTGCTAATGAGACCATAAAACGGTTTGCCTATTTTAGGGTATACAGTATCCTTAAAACTTGTATTTTCTCTACACATGGTTTGGTTACATTAATTACACATTAATTGGTCTCCTAAAAACATTCTCATCCTATTAACCTTTTTTCTAGTCCTTATTAACTCTCCATGCTAGATAAGGCTGCATTTCTTTTGAAGCCTATTTGTTCAGTATTGCTATTCAGTGTCTCCCCCCAATCCTCCCTATGAAGTCCAGATTAGTAGTATAGTGTAGTATACAGGAAGGACAGTGCTGTCACCAAAAGTTGAATAGACTGAGAAGTGGCATTAGGATTTAAAATGTCCAGTCCATTCAGATGCCCTGTCCTAAGTATTTTAAGTCCTCCATAACTTCAGTGCTCAACTACCAGTGCTTCTTTTCCCACTTAGTCTGCTATGTCCAAAAACTGCATCAAGCTTCTGTGTGAAGATCCCGTTTTTGCAGAATATATTAAATGTATCCTAATGGATGAAAGAACTTTTCTAAACAACAACATTGTCTACACATTCATGACACATTTCCTTTTAAAGGTATGTAGTACTTCAAGTTAAATGTACTGTTTCCATTTAAAGTGTCTTCATTATGTTGGTCTTTTGGAGATGTTTTTGTAAATCATCTTTTTCAGGTTCAAAGTCAAGTGTTTTCTGAAGCAAACTGTGCCAACTTGATCAGCACCCTAATTACAAACTTGATAAATCAGTATCAGAATCTACAATCTGATTTTACCAACCGAGTTGAAATTTCCAAAGCAAGTGCTTCCTTAAATGGGGTAAGAACTGTGCCCAAGAGTAAGCGTGTACTTCAAAACTTTACTTAAATTAGCATTTTGGTCTTCATGAGTTTGCTATCCTGCCATTAATTTACTGTTCAAATCTAAGTCATGTGATGAAAAAAAAAAAAAACTAAAACATGTTCCTGTGTGTAGTACATACTCTGACCTCAGAAAGATGGGAGCTAATGGCATTAGCTTAGGGGCAGTAATGTCATTAAGAAAAACAACGTGTATTTCTACTTGTTCACATTTTTCAAAACAGATCATTGCCTCTGGGTCCTAAGTAACTAACATAATCAGACTAATGATCTGTTGGGTTTATAAAGGCAGTTATAACTAGGGAATTAGTTGCCTTGTGTTTCCCTGAAAGCCACATTAGACTGGGATGCCCCAGAAACATGTGCAAGAAGTACATGTTCAGCAGCAATTTTCCCAACTAACAAGACACTGACAAGCCAGATTACAAAACTATGTAAGGAAGGCCTTACTATTTGTGACATCCACAAGTTATCTTGAGAAATTGTGATTTCTCAATTTTATTAATAAGACCTAAATTTCTCATACACTATTGGAGATTTGATTTAAAATTACTAACATAAGTCTAGGTTTGGGGGTTTTGTTTTGTTTTGTTTCCTTTTTCAGTCTCAAAAAATATTGTTTACTTAATGTGGACATAAAATAATGGTATTAATGACTTAGAACTTATTAAATACAGTAGTATCCTAACACTGGCTTATTTTAGTTTAAACATTTTTCTAAAAATGCCAGAGAAACAAAAATGAATTCCTGGGAAAATAAACATCTGCATTTAACTGCAAATAGTTGTGTCAAAATGTTGACTTTACAATTTGAAATGTTCCTGTCTGGGTTTTTATAGGATCTGAGGGCACTTGCTTTGCTCCTGTCAGTACACACTCCCAAACAATTAAACCCAGCTCTGATCCCAACTCTGCAAGAGCTTCTGAGCAAATGTAGGACTTGTCTACACCAGAGAAACTCACTCCAAGAGCAAGAAGCCAAAGAAAGAAAAACTAAAGGTTAGCTTTATGGGGTATTATCTTTATCTTCGGGGTTGGGGGTGGGAATAATACACTCATTTCGCTGACTCTGTAATAGCCATCTGTTCTGTTGACCCTCCTACTAAATACCAGTGATAAGAACAAAAATTATCTTCCTACCACCACCCCTCAATGTGATCTTAATAACCCCTTTCTTAGAGAATCTTCAATTTTGTTTCGTTTTTTTGGTACCAAGGATCAGCTCGGGACCACAGAGTTAAATCCCAGCCCAGATAATCTTCAATTTTGATGTTTCTCTTCACAGATGATGAAGGAGCAACTCCTGTTAAGAGAAGGCGTGTCAGTATTGACGAGGATCACACTGTAGACAGCTGCATCAGTGACGTGAAAACAGAAACCAGGGAAGTCCTGACCCCAACTAGCACATCAGACAATGAGACAAGAGACTCCTCAATTATCGATCCAGGAACTGAGCAAGACCTTCCTTCTCCTGAAAACAGTTCTGTGAAAGAATACAGAATGGAAGTTCCATCTTCGTTTTCAGAAGATGTGTCAAACATCAGGTCACAGCACACAGAGGAACAGTCCAACAATGGTAGATTTGAAGATTGTAAAGAACTTAAAGATCTCCACTGTTCCAAGGATTCCACTCTGGCCGAGGAAGAATCTGAGTTCCCTTCTACTTCTATCTCCGCAGTTCTGTCTGACTTAGCTGACTTGAGAAGCTGTGATGGCCAAGCCCTGCCTTCCCAGGACCCTGAGGCTGCTTTATCACTCAGTTGTGGCCATTCCAGAGGACTCTTTAGTCATATGCAGCAACATGACATTTTAGATACTCTGTGTAGGACCATTGAATCTACAATCCATGTGGTCACAAGGATATCTGGCAAAGGAAATCAAGCTGCTTCTTGACATTAGATGTAGCATGTCTACTTTTAAGTCCCCTACCCACCCACCCACCCATACAAGCTGTTTGTATAAGTTTTGCTTATTTGTTTTCGTGCTTCAGTTTGTCCAGTGCTCTCTGCTTGAATGGCAAGATAGATTTATAGGCTTAATTCTTGGTCAGGCAGAATTCCAGATGAAAAAACTTGCATCTTCAGTATACTTTCTAAAGGGCAATCAGATAATGGATGTTTTATGTAATTTAAAAAAAGTTCACTGTAGTGGCTTTCATTTAATATGGCTGTCTGGGAGAAGCAGGGTTTTCCAGCCCTGTACAGTGTAATTTAAACTTACAGCATTTTTACTGTGTATAATATGGTGTCCTCTGTGCCAGTTTTGTACCTTATAATAGAGGCAGATTGCCTCCAATCGCTGTGGTTCTTATTATCAAAATTAAGTTTACTTGTATATGGAACAACCACAAGAAATTTGATTCTGTAAAGAATCCTCTTTAGCTGTGGCCTGGCAGTATATAAATGGTGCTTTATTTAACAGAATACCTGTGGAGGAAATAAAGCACACTTGATGTAAAAATAATTGTTTTATTTTTATTGACATGACTGATTGCTATTCTGTGCACTTAATTAAACTGATTGTGATGACTTTTCATTTGCTTCAGTTTCTCCAATGAAAGTAATGCAGAAATTGCAAATGGGGGAAGCCCGTATCCTTTGTGCTATGTTTCATTAGACTTAGTGGCAGCCCAAAACAGTGACTTACCCATAGATTGCTTGGTCTTCATCACAGAGTTCAGAGCTGTCACAGGGTCAACCAAGGAGGGCAGGGAAGGAATATAACAACACAGCCAACCAGCCCACACACCAACATACTTCTGAATACAACGTGCCAATGCTTGACTAACCACTGTACACCTTAAAAACACTAAAGGAATAGAGTAACATGCCATTTATTTTTTATCTTCTTGAGTTAAGAAGTACAGCTGAAAGTAAGCTTGCTAGCAGAGGCTTTAGATTGAATCAATCTACTTCCAGAGGAACATCTATGGAAAGTGAAGTTAACACCTAATTTTGAGTTGCTTACCACTCAATACGATGCAGAGTCAGTGCTTTTAATTTTCTTCACGGACTTCATCCAACACAAAATAAAGATTTTTTTAAGGAACTGACTGATAGAGAAGAGGTAAACATGATACTTCCTATTAGAAAAAGTAACGCCCCTATAAAATCTATTTCAACCATTTAGAGTGATCAGATGCAGTAAACCTTTTATTTCTTCAAAATGAAGCTTCTGCCAACAGAATTTCATGTTCTCTTCTTTATAGATAGGAACTCCTTTACAGTCCAATTTTAATTCTGTTTGCCCTAGAGTAGGCACAAAACTCAGTGCTACTGTTGCATAGTGTTTAGAAGAAAAACAGGAGCCTTTTTACTACATTAGGAAAAGAAAAATTTATCTGTACCAGCTTTAGTTTTCTGAACATTTATAGGTGAAGGGCACATAACATACCTTCTGGCCAGTTTTTATATCTCCATTTCATGACGATCTTTCTGTTTATTGACTGAAATCAAAGGGGAGATGCCTCAGAACATTTTCAATTGAAACTCCTAATTACTACAAAAATCAATGAATAAGAGCCTGTTTTCTAGTTTACATGCCAGCACTACTAATGATCTGTTGTGCACTACTGCCAAAATGTCTTCAAACGGCATTAATATCCAGTGGGGAAGTACCGGTACCACAACAGGGTAAGGCAACTGGTATTTGGCAACACATACTCAATGATTTCAATGGCAGGAAGAGAACAGATTTTACATAGAAACAATTTCTAGGAGAAGCTAGGACTAAGGCCTCTTTCTAATAAAACCATAAGCATTTGCACAATGAGAAACTGAAGGCTTCACCTTTATCATTACTTAGTACACGAACTTCATTTAACAACAATGTGAACATGTACATGACCCAATTTTCAGTCATAGTGAAACTAGCACTTTGGAGGAGAATAAGAATTTCTCACTGAACAGTCATTAAACTTTCCAAGGCTTCCAACATCACGATACTATTTCCTTGTAAAACCACCATTCCAGTATTGTTCTGTTGCCCACTCACTGCCATCTCCACATACTCATCTGTCACTACAGTCACAGGGATCCACTTCCTGCAATACTCCTTGAAATGTCTGCCATCATTTACTTTCAGCTCAGGAGGGTGAGCTTTGCTCATGTTTGCTCTACAGGCTCAGATCTCCTCAAAAAACATAAGCAACATCTTAAATTTTGCTTCACAACCAATTTTATAATATTCTCAAGATTCTGAGTGCAGATAAAAATCCAGAACAGGGCTCAGTGGTGTCGTTGCCTGCCTCACAAGCACAGTACCAAGTTTGATCCCTGATACCAAAAAAAAAAAAAAAAAAACCCCAGAAGGAGTTAAAAATAGTATGGACAAAGAGAAATACTAAAGGAAGAGTTAAGTGCCAACTTGGTGGTTTTATTTTTTGAGGTACCAAGGATTAAGCCCAGTACCTTCACACTGGCATTACCTCCCCAGCCTTTTCTCAAAATTTTGAAGAGCTAGGGATGGTGGGGCACACCTATAACCCCAGCAGACAGGAGGCTGAGCCAGAATTGCTACGTTTCAACCAGCATGCACTACACAGCAAGACACTGTCTCTAAAACACAAAACAAAATTTAGACAAAAGGGTCTTACTAAGTTATCTAGGTTGGGCCTGAACTTGGAAATCCTCCTGCCTTCAAATCCCAGTGCTGGGATTATATGCATGGGCCACTATGCCCAGCTCCCAGCTTACTACTTTTAACTTTGAGATTACTTACCAGTTCTATGTATTCACCAGTGATGGTCCCATCAAACATTTGGAATTTTCCTCCTTTTTCAGCTTCTAATACAGCAGAAGATTTAGAAAATTTCTGCACCAGCTAGCCAAGCAAAACACAGACATGTTATTCCAACACATGCTACTGTTACTTTGTTTTTTGTTTGTTTTTTGGTACCAGGAATCGAACTCAGGTCCTTGAGCTTGCAAGACAGGCACCAGAACCACTGAGCTAAATCCCTGGCCCTATGCTATTGTTACTTTGATGTGTAGGTGGCAGGTATGCACATATAGGTGGAGGATGAAATTCAGAGCCTTCTGCATGCTAGTAAAGCCCTTAAGTTAATAAACTACTAAGCTACAGTCCTGTAAAGTAATGCAACAATGTGTTTTTGTTTGCTTTTATCTTGGATATATAGCTTTTGTTTACACAAAAGCTTTCTCTTCCTAGAGGGAGAAAATTTGATCAACTAATAAATTCCCTCATTGCTGATATATTCAACAAAGTGTCCATCTTGGTTCCCTGGAATTACTGCGAAGCCAACCTTATACATTCCCATCAACAGCACCATCCCTGAGCTCTGCAAAGAAAACCAAAACCCAGCTGCTCTTCTAGTGGCACATCTCTCCCATTATCAGCATGTAGGGCTCTAGCTTGAGGAGTTACTTACATCTTTCACAGTGAAGATGCTGTAGAGCTGTTCTACCGTTGTATCAAACAGTTCTGTCATGGGCAGAGCCACAGTGGGAATCTTTACACCCAATGCCACTGGAGAGGAGGCCTGAATCTCAAGAAAAAAGGTTCCAAAGGACAGTAAGGATACCAAGATTTAAGTCTTCTCAATAAAACAGTGTCCCAGATTCCACCCTACCCCTTCTAGACACATAAAAGCATCTTGAAAAACCTTTATTTCTTAGCTCTACCAGTCCTGACCTTTGGGAACAAAGCTCACCATTCCTAGCTCTGTAGTCTATTCCATTCCTAGACTATGGCCAAATTCCCCAAATTCTAAATGGCCAGGCAAATAAAGACCAGCAAGATGGAATGAAAGATGAGTCCACTTAAGGCTAACAGGTTTTAATTACACCCATACTCTTAGTCCCCAATTTCAAAAACAGGATGTAAAATCTCCCAATCCCAAAGTTAAGAGAGAAGGTTCTTCCATTGCGGTATATGAGCAAGCCTCAGTTACCTGGCTTTGTAATCTTGCTACCAAAGTATTTTTCCTTTACAGCAGTCTTGAATTAAATTCATTATTTAGCCCACAAAAAGGCATTTATACATTTCCTTGCACCAAAAACAAAAGGCTGGGGTTATAAGGCTCAGTAGTACAACACTTGCCTAGTAGGCATGAAGCCCTAGGTTTGATCCCCAGCCCCCAAATAAGTTATTTTATAATTTCTACAACAAAATGTGCAGATAAAGAATTACAGGGCCTGCACAGGGGTGCGGGGGGGAGTGGTTAATGCCCTTCCTGTTTACAAAAGACTGTACACTTCCTTTTTCCCTCCCTACACTTTGGCCACCAAAGGTCATACCTGCAAGGTATTTTCACTCAGTTTCCTTTTAACAGTCAATTCCTGGTTTGTCAAAGCTTCTGTTGGTAAAATCATTCCCATGGTAAATTCTATAAAGATAACATGGGAAAATATTTTTAGAAAGGCCTATTTCATATTAAGCACAAAGAGCAAAGTAGAAAACCCAAAACAGAATATGAAGAAATAAAAGAACTGATATTTATCCAAATAATTTCTATAGCATTTTGAGGATTTCAAGACCACTCAATATCTTTCCTTGTAAAATTGATCCTTCACATGAATTCCCCTGAAACAATGGCCTTTTATTCTTTTCCCTTTCAAATGTCTCATTTGTATCAAGTTCTTAAAAACCAGAAAATTTTGAAAAGCTCTTTTCCAAATAGCTACATGTTATATGACTGCTAGCAGCTGTGCCCCTCAACCACTGTCAAAAACCTAAGACTCACTGCCTCACCACCTCCTCAAGATTGTTCTAGTCTTCAGGCCTGTGAGCAGTACACTCGCAGCCTCAGGAAAAGGGAAGGGACAGCCCCAAACACGTGGGTGTCAACACCTACAAACTCCATGGGCAGGGTCCAAGGTAAGGTGCAAGGTAAGGTTCTTGCGGTCATTCTGCCCTGCTGGTAACTTCTCTAATTTAGAGTGTAATGACTTCATTTCCATGCCATGCAGGAATTATCTGGGTATATCTCCGTTGTAACTGTGATACCTGCAGTCATTTTTATTCATACATTCATTCATCCAACAAAGGTTTATTAGGCACCTATTCTGAGCCAGGCATTATGCTAGATGCTGGAGATAGAGCTGTGAACAAGACAGACATCTTCCATGCCCTCTTGGAGCTTATGGTCTACCAGGGAAGACAGACATTAAACAAGAAATTACACAAACCACCAACTAAATGACTTCCATTCCAGAAAACTAGTGATGCTGTAGGCAAAATGGTTCCTGCTGTGCATGATACTGATGATCACTAATACAGCCTTACCCATGACTGACTAGCTTTCAACATCTGCACTGCAACTCACGCTGCAGCATTGAGGATGTTTCTGGAGCCTAACCCGGGAATCCAGATCACAGTCCAGAGCATAACTTGGGCTAACAGAAAAGGGACCTCTGGTTCACAAGGGATGGCGCCTTCTTTACCCGTCTTAAGTGCCTTCAGGTAATCTCCAAGGGCCTCCCTGACCTTGGCGGTGCCTGCAGTTTTCATAAGATCCTTCAGTATTTCCCCATCTCCTTTCTTTTTACTCACGTTCACCTACAAATCAGAAAAATACAAACCTAAGAAAAATCTGGTTTCGTGTATTACACATGTGGCCACAAGGATGAAAGAACTGTGACTGGGGAGGGAAGCAGCAGCTCTGAGAAATGTGACAGGTTCTTTCTATTGTGGCTGGGGATAATATAAGGGCTGTTAATCATGGGGGCACTGACGGGGATGGTGGCCAAATTCTGAATGACTCCACAGAAAGTGGATCCCTTCATTTGCATCAAAACTGTGATCACGTATGAGCTAAAGGGCTACATCTGCTGTCCAGAATGGCAGCCACCAGCCACGTGTGGCTTCTGAGCCCTTGAAATGTGCCTGGTGTGAGCTGAGTTGTGTTGTATTAAATAATACACACCAGACTGCAGAGACTTGGAACAAAAAAAGTATGTAAAATACCTTGTTGCAAATTTTTACATTAGTTACATATTAAGATAGTTCTACATATTGTGACAAATAAGGCACTATTAGAATTATTTCACCTATGGGCCACAGATTTAGCTCGGTGGTTCTGCCACCTGCCTCATAAGTGCAAGGTCCTGAGTTTGATCCCCAGTACCAAAAAAAAAAAAAAAAAATTATT